TACTTTGTTCATAGTCTTGTTAACCTTATTTGGTACTTTGTTTCCACTCCTTTTGAGTGCGTTTTTTGGTTCAATAAATCCTTTTTGAACCGCATTTCTGCATTTGGGTCGTGCCTCGAGCTCCATTCCTGACACTTGGCCTCATAGCAGATGCTATCATCAGAAACTACTGTTTGAATTCTAAAGGAAAATCTAACCAGCCCTGATACGCTGCTGGGTCTGTGTTGTTAGGAACTCTTATCCCGTGTGAGCCTGGTTTAAAACGTCTGCGTTTGGCAGTTTATTCCGCTGGTTTTTCAGCATTAGTGGCTAAATGTGCTGAATGTCCATGTTGGGCCTGGACTCTGATCTGGATATCAGAGCTCTGCTGGGTTTGGGTTCTCTGAGCAGGTTACAGATGCACTGTGGGATCTGTGAACCATCAGCAGGGCTTGAAACGTGACTGGAGGCCAGTAGGAGGAATCACAGGAAGCCATGTGACTGCCTTGGGGCCTCATAGTCTTCCAGTAACTGGAAATGATTGTGTAACTTTTAAAAAAAGGTAGTGTTTATTTAATTTTATTTTTTATCTATTCATTTATATATTCATTTATTTATTTTTCATTTCCTACTTTAATTTTTCTAATGAATTTGTTTATTAATTTATTTAGTCTTCTAATTTACCTTTGATATTATTTTCCATTTTTTTAATAATGTTTTGTTTTGTGTTTTAAAAAAATGGATTAGGTTTATACTGTTCTAATCAAATTAAAAAATGCAAAATAAAGTCTCCAAAAACAGAAAAGGTAATGGAGCCAGGTTTTAAATGGATAGCATATCAGAACAGTACCAGGTTTTTTAATGGATCCTTTCGCAGAACAGAACTAGGTTTTTAATGGATCCTTTTGCAGAACAGAACTAGGTTTTTAATGGATCCTTTCACAGAAGCGACCTGGGTGTTTTCAGCTGAGAGTGGCTGTTTTACAGGTTAAAGGCGTCAGATGAAACATCCTGATAAACTTCGGATCTTCTGCTCTCTGTCTGACGAGAGGAAACAGTTTTCCTGACGTTGCACTTTGTGGAACAAGCTGCAACAGACTTTCTTTTGCACAGAAAAAAGTCTGTTTGTTCCCTAAAAGCTTCAAAGTTTAGTCACTTTTTACTTTCTACTTTCCGTGCTAGCGGATATCAGAAGGTGGCGATCGGATGTTGCAGCAGCTGGAGTAACCGGTTGGTGCAAACATACCTCCCAAACCTCATTGTTCTCTTTAATCACAACGAAACGATCCGTTCTCGCAAAACGAAAGCGATGCCGTCTGTTTTTTCTCTGCTAATCCTGTGTGCCATCGCATCATTTGTTTCCATTCTGACAACTTCTCACGGGGCCTGACTGTTTTATGACACCTCGGGTGTGAAAATGCACATTTGCTCTTAGATAAGTGAGAGCAGGCCTTTGGGAACTCGACCTCTGACCCCAGCCCAACACAAGCTGGGCAGGTCTCTTGGATTTTGATTTATTTATCTGTTCATGTTTGTGTATCTTGTAATTGTCTTTTCACTCATTTGTTGCACTTTTGTGTTTGTTGTGCAACACTTTGGGCAGATGTAGCTTTGTAAATACTGTTGATTGTAAAATGTATTTCATTTTTTCTTGTGTAAACGGGTGCACTGCTAAAAAAGAATTTCCCACAAGGGATTAATAAAGTAATTCTGATTCTGATTAAATGGGCTTTATAGACAAAGTTCACATTGATAACTAGAGAAAAGTAGGAATAACTAAGGATGAAAAGAAAAAGAAAAGGAGGCATCTCATTGAAGGGAATCTGCTTTGGGGGGGTTTCTTTGGCTCATTTGCAGGAGGTCTCTTTTATTGTCTCTTCATGGTCTGTGTGGTGGTTAGATGTCGTTTTGTATTCGTATTGTGTCGTTTTCTGGTAGTTTTGTGTCAGATTAGATTAATTTTAGATCCTTTTGTGACCGGTTGTGGTCATTTTGTGTGTTTGTGGACGCTGACCTATCCGGCCCCGGTCAGCCTGGAAGGCAGCAGCCGGGATTTCTGCCTCTGAATTGTTCCTGTGAGTGTCCTCGGTGAATTTAAGCCTGAGGGGAAGCGCTCAGACCTGAGCCCAGACCAGGAAAAGCCTCATTTGGCGGCAGAACCGGGGAGGGAAACTTTTTCCCTGGGCCCTGCTGGTAGGCCTGAGGGAAATATGAGGAAGCTGAATTACGTGAATGAGGAAAAGAAATTCAGATTTCAGCCCTGTGATCCCTACATAAGTGCTTTAGTATCGATATGAGATATGGCTTCCGGGTGGAGTTCTTTATCGGCTGCCTGTCGTCACAGAGGCAGGAAGCCTCTCAGCCTTTTGGCCTCGGGTGTTCCTGATCCAGCTTCTCAGCGTTTGTCCGAGTTGTGCCGCCTGGTTTTGGTTTGCCTTCTGCTTCCTGGGTCTCTGGACCTGAACAGGCGGTGGATCTGCGGGTTGGAGACTCGTGTCCTGTCTTCCGGCTCCGTGATCCCCTCTTTGTGCTCGCTGAGTTCGACCTTGTTGTGGAAATTCTTTTTCAAAACAAAAGTCTGAGTCCGTCTGAAGAAGTAAGACTAGGAGCAATGAGAAAAAGAAACAACCAACTATAAATAATAGCAATAAATGAACAAATAATAAAAGTTACTGAATAATTTCCAGTTGCTGGAAGTCTGTGAGACCTCGAAAATCACTCAAATCGACTTCTAGGAGAACCTATTGGAGTAGTTTTAAACTTTGAGGCCCCCGTCACATGTCTGTGGGTAGTTTTAAAAAAGCTACATAACCATTTCCAGTTACTGGAAGACTGTGAGGCCCCAAAGCACAGTCACATGACCTCCTTTATTTTTCTTTTTTGAATAGTTTATTTAGCATTTTTCAATTTTGTAAGAGAAGTCCAACTTAGTAAAAAAAAACAAAAATAGAATAAACAAATTAATTGAAAAAATTGAAGGGAGCGATGAGAAAAACTAATTAATGATCAAACAAAAAGGAAATGAATAAATAAAAAAATAAATGAATGACTATATAATAAATAAATAAATAAATAAATAAACCTGTATACAAATAAATAAATAAATAAATAAATAAATAAATAAATAAATAAATAAATAAATAAATAAATAAATAAATAAATAAATAAATAAACAGTAGATCTGTCCCATCAACAGGAC